ATATGATGTTATTATTATTGAGTGGAGTAGATTCATAATACACCTTTCTATTGTAATATGATGTTATTATTGTTGAGTGGAGTAGATTCATAATACACCTTTCTATTGTAATATGATGTTATTATTGTTGAGTGGAGTAGATTCATAATACACCTTTCTATTGTAATATGATGTTATTATTATAACAACGATACAAAGAGATCTTAGAAAGTCGAGGTAGATTGTAATGATGTTGAAGAAGGTGGTGGTAATCATACTAATGTTGTGTTCATCATCTTCTTCTTCTTTTCTTCTTTTCCTTCACACCAGTAGTCTCCCCCTCTGCTGCTACTCTCCTTTTACTATCACTTGCATTAGGACAGTAACCACAACGATCGAATGTCTACATATAAATACTCTTATTACTACTATTATTATTACTACTACCTTGCAGCAAGCATAACCCCACTTATGAGTAGCTCTATCATAATACGTACCCCATACTGAAGTATGGCCCTAATGATAAGAATACAGGAACACGCATGAATGATTATGATAATGACCAATATTAACTACATTAGAATAGTTATCCTCATCATAACGACTCTTGACAATGAGTTTAGACTCCCTAACATCATCATCATCTTCATCCACTGTCTAATAATAATAATTACATTCTCATTGTATTATAAACCGAAGACACACTTACTTCTTCTTCTTGTTGTTGTTGTTTCTTATCCTTAGACAATGCCAAAAGCCTCTTCTTAGTCTCAGCTGCTGCTGCTTCCTCTGGTGATGATTCATGACTACCACCACCCTGAGTACCATGATCAAAACATTTCATCATCATCAACATCATGATGATACCGATCATAATGCTTATATAATACACTACCTCTTTTTGTTGTTGTATGATATTGTTATGATGTTGATCATCACCCGTAATGAGACCACCTTTCCCTGATCTAAGTTCTTGTGCTATTATATTAGCTTTACTGCTGCTGCTGCTTCCTCCTTCCCCTGTAGCACGATACATCTCCTCACGTAATAATTCTACTCTCCTCTCTTCTTCTCTTCTTTTCATTAACTCCTCTTGTTGTCTTTCATGTTTCCTTTTCTCTTCCATCTTCAACCATAATCTACACTCCATATCATCATTACCATTATCATCATTAGATACAACTATTATTACTTCTCCTGATTTTTAAGATTAGACGGATGGAAGAATTTCTTAGCAATGAATCCTCCAGCCTTATGACCAACCCTACCACCAAAGCTACCAACTGCAGCATTCCTTATATGTTGCTGTTCATCCTCACCACCATGAGATGATGACATTACAATGATATACTAAGTAGCCACAAGCCTCATTCCCTCTAATCACTATCCACTATTATCTAGGTCATTATTATTCCTCAATAGTAGGCGTATTTATACATCCTCATTACTATAACACAAGACTAATGATCGATAGTATAAGTAGCAGCATCTAGATAATGAGTAGTAGTAATACTCTAACGAGTAAATCGCTAAAGACTACAAGCCTATATCATCATCAACATCATCATTGTTGTTGTTGTTGTTGATACTATTATCATCTACTTAAGAGGTACGAAGCGAGCAGCCATACCAGCACGACCATGACTAATAGGCTTATAGGTAATAGAGAATTCACCCAAATAATGACCAATCATATCTGGCTTGATTTCAACATTGATGAAGTTCTTACCATTATAGACACCAACAACAGAACCAACCATCTCTGGTACAACAGTCATGTTACGCATATGTGTCTTAACAGCTTCAGGCTTCTCACCTAATAATCACAATACGATACCTACTACTAATACAACATGGTATTATTATTACCATAAGGAGTGGCCTTCTTGGCTTTCCTTAACTTAGCAAGTAGAGTGATAGGATTAGATTTAATACCTCTACTGAACTTACGACGTTGACGAGCCTTAAATAGAGGCATCAACTGCTCAGTGGAGTAGTCTAGTATCTGTTATAATATACGAATCACTAAGTTATCATCATCACCTTAGTATTATTACATCATCAAGATCAACACCTCTATAGGAGTAATGACGGAAGGTACGCTTCTTATGTTGCTCAGCAGGGACTGCAGTATCAGACATGATAGTAGTCAACAATGCCGATGATGGTGCTACCAATCACTCTTAGAGGAAGAGACCATCAAGGACGGATAGCGTGATCGATTATCATCATTTTGATCGATTTCATGATGCCGATCCTTCTCTCTAGGTCGCCGCGCTGTTGTTATCATCAGTCATAATGGTGAAGTGCAATACTACTACTACTACCCGTAAGCTACAGATTAGACCTGCTAAGTTACGATCAACCATCACTCCTGGTAATGATAATAACAACTAATAATAAACCATTGTTGATATTATTGTTCTCGTTCTATTAGGTACCGTACTTATCCTATTGGCTGGTCCTTATCGTGGTAAACGTGTTGTATTCCTTAAGCAATTGGACTCTGGTTTACTCTTGGTTACTGGTCCTTTCCGTCTTAATGGTGTACCTCTTCGTAGAGCTAATCAAGCCTATGTTATTGCTACTTCCACTAAGATTGATATCTCTAAGGTGAATACTGATAAGTTTACTGATGAGTATTTTGCCAAGTCGAAGGATGAGAAGCATACTGGCAAGAAGACTGAAGAGGAGTTTTTTGCTCTACAGAAGGATGGATCTCAATTATCTGCTCAGTTTATTGCTGATCAGAAGGAGATGGACAAATCTCTAATGTCTGTTATTGCTAAGGATAAGATGATGCCTCGTTATTTGAGGTGCCGTTTTACTCTCAGTAATGGTATGTATCCTCATGAGATGAAATTCTAAAGTGGCAGCAGCAGCATTATTATCAATACTTGCCTCCCGCCGCCAACGATAACGACAACGATCGTCACTTCTTCGATGGTCGTCGTCGATGTTGCTTGAGCGGTAATAGTAGAGCTACTACCATCATCACCATTATAGGAAGCACCAGCATTGATAATCACCATCATGGTTTGTTATCAACAGTAACATCAGCAGCAGCATCATCATCATGATTATGGTGTAGTGTTAGTTAAAAAGGCGGAATATTACTATTCACACAACCATGTTAGCATCATTCGGATCAGATATATCAATGTAGTCTACGATAAAGAGGGTCCTTCATTATTATTACCGGGTGCTACTATTGAGGGAGCGGAGAATGGATATCATGAATCTAAATTAGGATGGTATAATGGTGGTGAATCACCACTGGTATCATCAGGATGATACTCATGATGATAATGTTGAGGGATAATCATCATCATCATCATGATACTGCATTCATCTCTGCGTGGTATGGGATGTTCGTATCGGTCACCTTGAGTAGAGGACAAGGAGGAGGAAGAGGAGCATACAGAGTTTATGATGATTACATGTTGCTCTATGACGATATAGCCGATCATACAAAGATGAAAGTGGTCATTAGGAGTGATGAGGATGTTAGTAATATACGTATTATAACATACATTCGATCTCGATTGAGGAGCATTCGATACGCTGCTTAAGGAGCTTTAGGATACACCTGTCGTCAGCAACAACACATGTGGCAAGACTGTTATTCCCTTCATAAGTATGAGTATGTTAATAGCTTCGTAAGCAACATGGGCGAATGACCGAAATCTCAGTATTAACATTAGACTCACCAGTATCATTGTTCAGTGGTGGAAGGAGCACTGTTGTGATATCATATGCCCAGCTATAGTATAGTAGGAGATTCCTGAGGGATAGTATTGTTTATGATGATCGTATGTCCACGAAACTTCTCTACTCATACTAGTACTACTACCAACAACACAGCACAAAAGAGGATCTCTACAGTTGTTAAGAACTAAGGATAAAATGACGTATTACTTTTGGCTTTCCTCGTTCTATCCTTTTTATCCGATTTATGATATCACATTTTGCCGCCATTGATACTATTACGGCATTCCTCAAGAATGCCATGCTTAACCATGCGGTATACCCATAATATTGTAGTATCCAAGTCATCATCATTCCCCTCAAACATCATCGTAATCATCATCATGTTGTTGTTGTTATGAACATAAGTTACGGTTGCCGATGACAGCCATAACTGCACCGCTCCTTCCACACCACCGAGCAAAGGAAACATTAGCACCCAACTCGTTCATGTCGTCAATGTCTACCATACCATCGACACCAGAAACGATGAGCTCAGAGAAAAACCTCCTTGAGAAAGCTTGCTATACATCTTGCAGAATGACGTGAACAACATTCATCTCGCCTTTCGATTGCTGCTGGGAACCTTTCAGTTCACAACTCACGCTTGGTCTACGATATCAATAACTTCTACTGGTCACCAGTAATTGGTGAACTCCAGTGAATTCTACAGTCTAATCCTTTCTAGATTCCTTAGTAGTGTCAAGTCATGCGACCTTCAAGGCCTGCGCTTGTTCGGTTCACATACCTACCTACCAAAGCTCGGTTCCATGCTGGGACGAGACCTGTACAAGCGCTTTTGCCTCTCTGCTGAGAGCCTCTTCTACCGATTCTCGAGATTCTGCTCTTCAGCTCATAGAAGCTAAGCGGTCTGCTTACTGTGACTCTGTTCGCTCTAAGCTCGTTGGTGGTCGACTGTCGTGTAAGCAGTTTCATCGTCTCGCTAAAGAACTCTCGCTGAGCACCAAAGCTAAGTCTTGCGCTATTCCCTCTTTGGAACTGAGCCCTGGTGTTCTCACTACTGAAGATGCGGCTAAAGCCGAAGCGCTGGCGAAGCATTTCAAAGATGATACTTCCCCCGTGTCCGCCCCCTTCAAACTTGGTAATAGGATCGCTGACGCACAATCCATCACAACCTTACGTGTTGACCCTTGTGATGTTAGGAGTGTTCTTGAACGACTGAATGTCTCTAAAGCTGCAGGCCCTTCTTGTATCAGCCCTAGGGTTTATCGTGAAGTAGCTGGTGTTCTAGCCCTCCCTCTCTCAAGACTCTACAACAACATCCTCCAAAAGGGTTTATGGCCAAGGGCTTGGAAGACCTCCAACATTTGCCCCATCTACAAGCGGAAATCCAAGCGTGATCTTCGCAACTACCGTCCAATTGCTCTGCTTGAAATCCCCTCGAGGATTTTTGAGCGTATCATAGCTCAAAAGTTGGTTCACCATGCCATTACCATGAACATCCTCGCCCCTGACCAAGCCGCTTTCCTACCTGGCCGTTGCACTGGCGATGTGATGTGGGAATTCATGGCTGACGCAATTGGTGCTATGAACGAACGCAGCTGCTGGCATGTTCTCCGATATTGCTGGTGCTTTTGACCGTGTCGACCGACATCTCCTTGTCCTCCGCTTGGAGAACTGTGGCATGAGGGGTAAGCTACTCAACCTCCTTCGTAACTACTTGTCTGAGCGTCGCTTCAGAGTTGTCTGTGGTGGCACGAGTTCCTCCCTTTTCTGCGAGTCGGCTGGGGTCTGTCAAGGTTCCTGTCTTGGTCCAGTTTTGTGGCTATACTTTTTTTCGCCTATTCACTCCTCCGCTGTTGGTAATGCTGGCCCTGGTCTCTCTACATACACCTTCGCTGATGACCACACTCAAGGCTCTAAGGACCCCCACTTACTGACCAAAGGTGAAGCGGGCGCTGTCGCCTTCACAAACGGTGCCAGAATTACTATGGAGCCTGCTAAAAAGGTTGTCGGCACATATGCTAATAGAGCACCTAAGTCTCAACAGGAGTGTGCCATCCTACTTGGTCTCAGGTGGATGCTGCTCTGTCCAT